AAGAGAGGAATCCCAGGAAGCAGTTTGGAGAAGGAATCTGCTTTATTTGCTATGAATCATTTCTTACAGGACTCCTCCTTCAACCCTATAGGTAACCTACAGAGATTAGCTTCCCTAGCCCCTGGATCTTTTTGAATACTTTCCAAAAAAATGCATTCCCACATTGCGTGTTTACCGTGATCAAAACAAAATCCTTCTAGAGCCTCCTTAGTGAGAAGCTCGTATGTGTTTGTTCTCACTGTATTGGCTTGCATGTGTGTTAATCACACGCGTCTAATTTTAACAAATTCGTTTGCATGAAGAAATGAAAGTAAGTTTCTTGGACAGCAAGACATTTATTCAGTAATTATTCTGAGTGGGAGTATTGCTGGGGAAAATCTGTATTCAGAGATGATTTCTAGGTGCCCTACATCTTGTAATGTTCACAAACCAGGAAATTGTTTAAACAAGTTGTTAGGCACTCTAAAATGTGAGCTTTAAGTTCACTTTGTTGTGGAAAAATCAGCCATCCAGAAACTCTTTAAATTGGCGTTCTTTACAAGAATGTGAGATACTGACTTAAGCTTCAGCTTTTATTCTACTTTTAAGACATCATTTGTGTAATAAACTGCATTTCTAATTTTTTAAGTCTGAACTTGAAGCAGCCAATTTTTAAAAAGCTGCTCTAGAACCCCCACATATGGCCAATGGCTCTTGAGAAGAAAGGGCACTTTGAAGTGTAACCTCAAGAGTATTAAATGAAAGAGAGCTCACCAGACTCTTAAGACTTTGAGCCACCACCTTGAGCTGATTGGCTTAGAAGCATTCCTGAGGGAGGTGCCATGACCTGCAAGTCACTACTGTCCCAACCACATATTAGTGCTGCTTGCAATCTGGAGCTCATGACAGCTTTAAGCCCCATGTCATCGGCACATTGTCAGAAACAGCTGTTTCCACTCTACCACTTCAAAAGGGCTTGATTAAATGTCTTACTGTAACAACATATATAAAGACACACACATAGAATGAGGGGGAAAGGAGAAATGTACCTATA